AAGAACAATGATAATAATCTCCTTCGATTTGTCAATCATATTACATATCTAAAATAAATAAATATATATACTTTTATAATAAAGATTAAAAAGTATAGTAATGATGAAATTTTATCAATAAACTTAATTAAGTATAAAGGACCATAGTACCAGTTACAGAGTGTTTACAACTCAAAATATATATAATTGGATAACTTTTGGCATTAGACTACAACTCAATGGTAGATCAAGACGTGACAGACGGACTGAACCAACCCCGAACTGGCCCGTAAGTCCACGGGTCATGAGCCGAGTTTGTGATTTGACCGGATCAGTTTCGAACCACATATATTTACTTTTTGAACCATCCAAACCGGCCGTTCGACCCTTTTCTAATTTTTTATTGTTTTTTTCAATCTTTTAATTTTCTTTTAGTGAACTGGGCCAACCCGTGCATCCCAACCCTTGGTCTAGAATCGGGCTTGGAACCGATTTTGGCCATATGTAGGTTCATCTTGTAATCAATTAATTATCCTTTATAGATTGATGAGACACTCACACAAACAAACCAAAGTGAAATATTCTGAAAATAGCTTGCACTTACCCAACAAAACAAAAAATAGGGCAAGAAAAAGGATAATCTTAGAATAAGGGAATTAATAAATAAAAGTATTACCAGCTAGAGGTGCAGGCAGGTGAGAAACAATATTATCAATCAAACCTCCACCACCACCGCCACCCGCCACCACTCTCCCATCTCCACCACTCTCTCCGCCGCCTTCACTTTGACCGGAAAACATCAAATTACTAAAAACCCCACCGCCCTTTTCTTCCTCTCCTCGGTTACAGACATCATCGTCCTTGGCAACCTTGGGACTCGAAGGCGAAACCAAGTTAGACAGCAACTGGTTTATCAGGCCACCATCTTTCTCTTCTCCTTCATCTTCACCGTCTACTTTAGTAACCAAGGCAGATATGAAATTACTAATTACCCCTCCTCCACCTGAATTCTCGGCCTGCTCCTCTTTTTCTTCACTTTCTTCTCTCTCCTGTTCGTCCCCTACAGTTCCTTCTTCTTCTTCTTTGCTCCCACCATAAGAGACCAAACCCGAGATCTCTGTTAACCCATCTTCCATCTTCAAACCCTTGGACACTTTTCTTTTTTTTCTCTCTTATGGCGTTCTTTCTTTTCTTTGTTTGGGACAAATGTCTTCTATAAAAGGGTGACCATTGGAAAGCGTTCCACGTGTCCTTTATTTTATTTTATTTTTTTTTTTTATTGCGTATGGTAACTCACATGACCATAAATAGATCCAAGATGACATGAATAAAATTATTATATAAAAGTAAAACGATTCGTTTTTTTTTTTTTTTTCGAATAAACTCAAAGCATGCTTTGTATATGTATGCAGGTTACCAGGTTCTGGTCGGTTGCTCAAATTGCACAATACTGAATTTAAATTAATAGTTAATGCGGAGATTCGTTTAAATATTTGGTAAAATCAATAAAAAAAGTTTAACACATAGCACAGAGTAATCACATCTTTAGCACGGCCAACTACAATCTACAATCGGCTTACGCTTCAGTCGAACGGTGAATTCCGCTTCGACTTCTTTAGCGCGGCCAACTTCTCTCTCCTTCTGGCCGTAATTTCCAGCCACTCTTCCCTAATTTTCGCCATGAACTTGTCGAAACCTGGGATGTTCTTCGCAATCTGCCTGTAGCGTGCATACATTGCTCTGCGGAGATTGAGATAGTGCCGCTGCATATAGAGA